ATCAAAATTACATTGTAAAGTTTTTTCCAATATCACCAATATTAGTAGCAATCACATTTGATTACCAATCACTAACGAAACGGAAAGGTTTTTGAAGGAATATTGCTTCTTCTTTTTATTGGCATAGACAGACTATACAATTTTATAACCCTAAACTTATGGTACCAATCCATGAAAATTCCATGAACTCCATTATTTCATTAATATTAATTATTCAACTAATTCTTAACCCCAACTCTATAGCCATGGAATTTATGAATTAATTCTATAAATTAAGTTCAAAAATTTACCTTCTTCTTCTCTGTTTAGTTAGTTTCTCTTCTTTGAATTATTCTGGTGCTCTTCAATGGAAGAAAAGTGCAAATCTCATGTTTTCTTTTGTTCTCAAAAGTGGTTGCCAAGCTTTTCATCAGATTTTCCCTTAACTTATTGTTGATCGTGAGTTTTCCCTGTGTTAGAGTCCTTCTACTACCCAAAGCCCTCTTTTTCTTTTCTTTTGTGTTTGTTGTGAGTCCTTTCGCTTCCCTAAATCCCCTTCTTTGCTTTTAGCTTTTTTCCATATTGAAATCTGGTGGGCTACGACCCTTTTCTTTTTTTATATCCTTTTCCTTTTTTTGTTAAATGACTCATATGTCCCTGTTTAAAATTTATGGGCTATTACATCCTTCCCACCTTATAAAATTCGGTCCTCAAATTTAACTCAAGCACGTACCTGTAGACTGAAATAAATGTGGATATATGACGTGCATATCATCTTCCATTTCCCAAGTAGCTTCTTCAACTGTATGATTTCTCCATAAGACTTTCACGAACAGTATTTCTTTTGACCCTAGCTTTCTTACTTGCCTATCAACAATAGCTATCAGTTCCTCCTCGTAAGAGAACTTCTCATCAAGCGGTATAGCAGGTGCTTCAATCACCTAAGATGAGTCTGATATACATTTTCTTTGCATTGAGACGTGAAACACTGGATGAATAAAGGACAACTCAGGAGAAAGTGCCAAACGATAATCCACCGCTCCCACTCGGTCTAGTATCTCATACGGTCCTATAAACCTGGGGCTCAACTTGCCTCTTTTCCCAAACCGCATTACACCTTTCATAGGAGAGACTCGTAGGAATACTTTGTCCCCAATTGTGAACACTATATCTCTTCTTCTCTTATCTGCAGAAGATTTTTGTCTGCTTTGAGCAGTAAGCAATCTCTGTCGGATCAACTGGACTTTGTCCATAGCTTCTTGTACTAAGTCGGGTCCCAATAAGTTAGTCTTACCAGCTTCAAACCATCCGATAGGAGAGCAACATCTTCTACTATACAATGCTTCGTACGATGCCATTTGAATACTAGACTGGAAGCTATTTGATAAGTTAGGATTTTAACATGTTTTATGCCCCTACTTGCCTATGCTTTGATCATATATTGTTACAAAATAGTCCTAAAAGGCTCACAAGTTGTGCTTGATCGCAGGTTTGATCGACAAAATGACGAAATGTCAAAGATCGGCTCAAAAATGAGTGAAACCTGCTCAAGTATCAAAGACCAAGAAATATTAAGAAAAGAAGGCCTAGTGTGGACCGCGCAAAGTGGAATGCGGCCGCACTAGGTGGTTCAGAGAGTTGGTGAATCAGTATTAGAAGAAGCGCGGCCGCGATACACATCTCGTGGTCCGCGGTGAAGGCTCCGCGGCCGCACTACTCTTTTATGCGGTCCACGGTCATGAGGTTTAGAGAGATTGAGTTTGCAAAGCTAGTGCCATGCGGTCCGCAGTCGTGGTTGCGCCGACCATGCCAGCTCCCTCCGCGGCCGAGGTCCGTTCTACGCGATCTGCGGAGTCCAAGTTCAGAGAAGCAGGAGTGAGCCCAGTGCAGCCGCGGTCCATTTAATGCGGCCTGCACTGACCTCGCAGGGGTATTTTTATTTAGTTTTATCAGCGTAGTATAAATAGAACATTTTACCATTTTTTAGGGAATCAGATACATCAGTAGAGAGTTGCGCTCGTGAGAATGTATTTTGTAGCCATTTTTGGCACTTTTGCTTTACATTTACGATAAATTCTTGCAATTTAATTTTAGCAATTAATTAATATGCTTAGTTCTTCGTCTATTTCTTCAATTTCTTTATCTAGAATGAGTAGCTAAACCCATTAGCTAGGGTTGTGGCTCAACCCTAGTGTGGGTAATTGATGGGTGTTGCCATCTAGTGTTAGATTGACTATGGGTGTTTGCTATTTGGGTTGATTTTATGTTTTAATCTAGAATTGGTGGTTGCAAACACTGATTCAAGCTTTGTGGGTTTAACTCTTCTTGAGAAAGAGAGTCTATGACCCCAAAATTGACCCAACAAGGAATTGGGATGGACTCATGAGAAATGATAGTCCCAATTAACGGGTTAAACCTCGAGAGAGTAATTACCCTACTTGAACCCTAGTTGCTTGGTCTAATTTGCCTACCCATTTGGTCGAGAGAGAGTCAATTGGGCAAAGTCACTTTCTCTACCAAGAGGTGTGAGAGTGGGTAAAATTGTGCAACGGTTATAGCATAAGCTCCAATTATGTCAATAGAACCTTAGTAACATCTACCAGTCAATTAGCCACCTAGGTAGTGTCACGACCCTAGTGTCATTCTTCCCATTAGATACAACTTAGCAATATTCTCGTAGCATAATTTAGTGTTAATCAATAGTTTTACCAAAATAATTATAATTTGAAAACCCAAAAATGTTTGAAGTGACATTAGGAGTACAAACACATCTCTAGGATAGACAGACAATCCAACTCCACTACTAGCTCCCTGAGGAATTCGATCCCGACCCTCATATCGGGTAAAAGCTATTGCGACCCGCTCTTCCTACCTTAGTGTAGCGTTGAGTTGGCAGTGATCACTATTATTGTAAGCAAATTCAGCTAATGGTAGAAAAGTGTCCCAACTACCTCCAAACTCAAGAAAGCAAGCTCTCAACATATCCTCCAAGATCTGTATAGTACGTTCTGACTGTCCGTCTGTCTGTGGATGAAATGCAGTACTAAGATCTACTCGTGTAACCAATGCTTCTTGAAAAGATTTACAAAAGCATGAAGTGAACCGTGATCCTCTATCAGAGATGATGGATACTGGAACTCCGTGAAGTCAGACAATTTCATTCATAAATATCTATGCAAACCTCACTCCTCCATATGTAGTCTTTACTGGCAAAAAGTATGCTGATTTTGTTAGTCGATCTACAATTATCCACACCGAATCATAACCTCTAAGAGTTTGTGGTATACCGGTGACAAAATCTATAGTAATTCTTTCCTATTTCCACTTTGGAATCTCAATTTGTTGTAGTAGTCCTGCGGGTCGATGATGCTTAGCCTTGACTTGCTAACAAGTCAAACAACTAGAAACAAAGTTAGCAACATCTTTCTTCATACCTTCCCACCAATAAAATTGCTTCAGGTCATGGTACATTTTTTTGGATCCAGGATGTATAATGTATTTAGTGTTGTGAGCTTCTTTAAGAATAGCATGTCTCAACCCATCTACGTCTGCTACACATAGACTATCACCCATTCGAAGAACACCATCACTCTCAACAATCATATCCTTGCTTTTACCAGCTAAGGCCTCATCTCTGTATTTGCATAATCGGCCATCCTCATATTGGGTGGCCTTAATGCGCTCAACTAATGAAGACTTAGCCTGAGCACAAGCCAACAATGCCTCTGAATTTCTGACACTAAATCTGATACATGTATCTTCTAGTCTCTGAATATCTTTGGCCAAAAGACTCTTTGCAAGGGCTATATGTGCCAAACTCCCCATAGATTTTCTACTCAATTCATCAGCCACCACATTGGCTTTTCCAAGAAGATACAAAATAGAACAATCATAATCTTTGAGTAGTTCTATCCAACGATGCTGCCGAAGATTTAGATATCTCTACTGAAATATATGCTTCAGACTTTTGTAGACAGCATAAATCTCACAACTTTCGCCGTATGGATAATGTCTCCAAATGTTTAGAGCAAATACCACTGCAGTCATATCCAAATCATGTGTAGGATAGTTTTGCTCATGATTTTTCAATTTTCTCGAATCATAAGCAATAACACAACCATTTTGCATGAGAACACATCCCAATCCCACCCTCGAGGCGTCACAGAATACTGAAAATCCTCTAGAATTTGATATTAAGGATAATATTGGTGCAGTTGTCAAACACGTTTTGAGTTTCTGAAAGCTTTGCTCACATTCCTCCGTCCATTGAAACTTTGCATTTTTTTGTGTTAGCTTGGTCAGTGGCACTGCTATTCTAGAGAAATGCTGCACAAAACGCCTATAATAGCCTGCTAAGCCTAAAAAACTGTGAATCTCTATAGGAGAAGTAGGGCTGGGCCATTTCTGCACAACTTCTGTCTTCTTAGGATCTACCATAATTTTATCTTTGGAAACAGCATGCCCCAGAAATGATACTGAGTCTAGCAAAAAATTGCACTTTGAGAACTTAGCATAAAGTCGATGTTCTCGCAATGTCTGCAACACAGTCTTGAGATGGTCCACATGTTCTCCTTGTCTACGAGAATATATCAGGATATCATCAATAAACATTATTACAAATCTATCTAGAAACGGCTTGAACACCTTATTCATTAAATCCATGAATGTTGATGGAGCATTAGTCAGTCCGAAAGGCATCACAAGAAACTCATAGTGCCCGTATCGAGTTCTAAAAGCAGTCTTAGAAATATCTTCATCTTTGATTCTAAGTTGATGATAACCAGAACGGAGTTCAATCTTTGAAAAGTGGGCAGCTCCTTGTAACTGATCAAACATATCATCTATACAAGGCAAAGGATATTTATTATGTATTGTTATCTTGTTCAAATGCTGGTAGTCAATGCACATTCTCAGGGATCCGTTTTTATTCTTTGGGAACAGTACCAGTGCACCCCATGGTGATACACTAGGTCTAATAAAACCTTTATCTAACAAATCTTATAATTGTTGCTTTAGATACCTCATGGTGCCATTCGATATGGGGGTATTGATATATGCTGTGTTTCAGGTAGCAATTCAATACCAAAGTTTATTTCTCGTACTGGAGGCAATCCTGGTAAATCTTCAGGAAATACATCAGAAAATTCTCTCACTACTATACTAACTGTTTCCTTTCTTGTATCATTTACAATAGCTAAGAGACCCAAGCAACCTTTCTTCAGAAGAAGTTGAGCTTTCATAAAATATGCAACTTTGTAAATCTCTAGAACCTGACTCCCTCTTAGAATAAAACTAGGTTCATCTGGTATCTCAAACTTAACTATCATTGCATGACAATCGACTATAACATAGCAAGAAGATAACCAATCTATTTCCATCAGCATGTCAAAGTCAATCATATCAAGTACAATAAGGTCAGCTAGAGTATCTCTACCCTCAACCCGAATCTGACAAGCACGATGTACGTATTCAGTTAACAGAAACTCTCCAACAGGAGTAGCAACTAGAAAAGGATCATTCAATAGTCCAGGCTGTCTACTTAACCTCAAAGCAAAGTACGAGGATACATAGGAGTGAGTAGATCTCGGATCAATCAACGTAAGTGCATCAAATGAACAGACACAAAGAATACTTGTAACCACAGCATTCGAGGCCTGAGCATCCTATCTAGTAAATGCAAAAACTCTCGCCTGACCTCTACCAACATTCCCTTGTCCTTGATTCACAGTAGCACGGTCTACAGCACCCCGACCTCTATTTCTTGTACCTGTAGCACCTGAAGTATTACGAGTAGTCTGAGTCGGTACAGCTGACTGAATAGAAGCCTGGTTGAAATTTTTTGGAGGCTGAGGGCAATCGCTCAAGTGATGTCCCAACTGGCCATATTGAAATCACTCTCCAGTTAGAACACGACATTGGCCCAAATGTGATCTACCACATGTCTGGCAGACTGGAGTAGTAGATGCCTAGAATTACGATGTCCAGAAGATGATGGTCCCCTATTACCTTGTCTGTAATGTGGTCTGTATGTGAACTGTGAAGACATGTGTGTCCCTATTTGAGAATCTTGTTGTTGTTGTTGTCCCTGATTTCCTACTCTTCTATTTTTAGTAAAACCGCCACTGAAAGCCTCTCCTGTCTTGGCCTTCTTACGTAAATCACTAGTTACACGCTCATCACGTCCCTTGTTTTCAATCTTTCTAGCAAGGCTGACTATATCAGAGTAGGATAAAGTCTTAATCTATGGGGCTACTGCAGTGTATAGACGACCAACCAATGCATCAACAAACCTCTAAAATCGAGCTTCTTCGGTAGGCACCAAGTAAGGAGCATATATAGCCAGCTTACAAAACTTAGTATTATATGTTGACACATCCATACCTGGAGTATGAACCAATCTCTCAAAGTCTGTAACACATTTTTGCATCAGGTTGTCTGGAAGAAAATGATTCTTGAACAACTTAGTGAACTCATCCCATTCAGTGGTGGTTCTCCTGCTAGCCTTCCTAGAAATACTGTTTCATACCATGTATTGACCATATCCTCTAGTTTGTATGATGTGAACTCTACGACTCTCTTACTAGAACATCCAAGAGAATGTAATGCCTTGAGAGTCCCATCCAAGAAACTTTAAGGATCTGCTGAATTATCGAAACCTGTGAATTTTGGTGATTACAATTTCAGAAACTCTTGTAGGGATACTTCCTTATTTCCGAAAGTCTGAGTCTGTGCAGGTGCTTGTGTCTGTAAAGTAGACTGAGGAGTTGAACTTCCTCCCTGAGTAGGCACCAATGCCTCCAATACATTCAATAACCTTGCCACTATGTTTGCAGGTAAGGCAACAGTAAGTACAACAGTTGGCACTGGTGGTGGAACGTCCTGAACTCCCTGCCCTTGCACCTGATCTGGCATAGCAGCTTGGGGTTGCTCTGTGTTTCCAACTTTAGGTTGAGGAGCAGTCTGTCTTCTAGTTTAATAAACCCCAACTTGACCTCCACCCCGAGTAGCACCACGTCCAGCAGATGAGGGTGTGCATGTCCTAGCCATCTACGAAAGAAATATTCCAAAGTCAATATCAAGTTATCTCAACGCACGATCAAAGAATGAAAGGAGGAAAAACACTCTTAGATGTTCAGTAGCCTCAAGGTCATAAGTATGGGTGCCTACATACCCATTAACAAGACTCTACTAAACATTGCTCCATGACTCGGGACTTAAAGCCTTGGTTCTGATACCAACTTTGTCACGACCCAATTTAGGATCGTGACCGGCGCTTAGGAGCAAGTGCTCCTATGTAAGCCTCATCGGTATTTTACAGAAATCGGATAGAGTTTTCCCTATTTTTTGGACTATCCCAAAAGTTTCCCTATCTCAAATCAACAACGAAATATCCTAATAGCAATTCAATTGACAATGACTTTATCAATTAATCAAAATAAATATCTACCTTTAATAGTCTACCCACTAACAACTAGAAATACTACTTTATCTCCAAATTAGATAAGAATGAGCGATACTCAACATAAGTCTATAATAACGAATAAATACTCAAGACACTAAAAGAACGCCCATGGAACAACTCTAAGAGTTCAAAGAAAAGACCATAACAATTGATAAAAATCTCTGCCCACACGAACAAGTGAGAGCTCACCAAGAACTATCAACATGTGCGCTCTAATTAACTAAATCCTCACCCGCGTCAACTGCTATCTCTATAAAAAAACAATTAGCGGGGAATGAGTCGCTAGCTCAGTGAGTAATAACACTTAATCGCAACCGTTTTTATTGGGGACAAGTTAGAAAACATCCTAGTATCTCAAATAGAAAATAACATAAAAATGCCTTTTCAGAAATATTAAATAATTTTCAGTTTCATCATGCTTTTCTTATTGTATAATACAATTAACAATTTAGTAATAAGCTCGATAACCACTATATAATATCAATATTCAAATTTGGAAGGTTTCAATGAACGGATCATGTAATCGGTATAATTGTGGACTTCTTCGCAAGAAGTCAAATATAACGGTAGTCCCTGCTTGAAGGAATCGGTAACGGTATGATAGTTCTTCCCTCCCACTAGCGAGGGCTATAACTGTACTATGTAATCGGTAAATACAAGGTGCACCAGGTCTAACAAACCCGCCATTAGCTATGAGATCTTTCAAAGTCTACTCCCATTTATACTTGTCTCTATATTAGTATATACTCATAGGAAAATATTTTAAAACAATATAGGGCATTTCGGTTCTTATCAAACCATGTAATTTCATTTAGATAATAGTAATTTCAAGTAATGGTAAAACATATCTAGTGACAGCAAAAAAAATTTAAAACAACGGTAATCTTCTTAAATAACTGTTTCGGTATCATATTGAGTAAAAGACTTGTCCCACATGAAACTCAAAATAATCGATAACATATTCATATTAAAAATCATGTGTAAATCATGCAATTTATGAAAACACAAATTGCGGTAAGATTACTACTCACAGTACTCATGCCGAAATACCAAATGCTTCACCTCGAGCAATTCATACAACTTCCTCCAATCAATCTATAATTACATGATATCGATCTCATGTTAATTTCCATGTTTAGGCTAATTCGTAGCTAATTTAGAATTCCCAACCCTCAGAGTTTCATACTTGGCTATTAATTCGCCGAATTATAATAACCCAACAAATCCCTCTTATTCTACTTAGAATATAAAGACCCATTTTAGTATCCCAACTCAATGCTATCAAAATTACATTGTAAATTTTTTCCAATATCACCAATATTAGTAGCAATCATATTTGATTACCAATCACTAACAGAACGGAAAGGTTTTGACAGGAATATCCCTTCTTCTTTTTTTTTGGCATAGACAGACTATATAAGTTTATAACCATAAACCTATGGTACCAATTCATGAAAATTCCATGAACTCCATTATTTCATTAATATTAATTCTTCAACCAATTCTTAACTCCAACTCTATAGCCATGGATATTATTAATCAAATCTATAAATTAAGTTCAAAAATTTACCTTCTTCTTCTCTGTTTAGTTAGTTTCTCTTCGTTGAATTATCCTGGTGCTCTTCAATGGAAGAAAAATGCAAATCTCACGTTTTCTTTTGTTCTCAAAAGTGGCTGCCAAGCTTTTCACCAGATTTTCCCTTAACTTATTGTTGCCCGTGAGCTTTCCCTGTGTTAGAATCCTTCTACTACCCAAAGCCCTCTTTTTCTTTTCTTTTGTATTTGCTGTGAGTCCTTCCCCTTCCCTAAATCTCTTTCTTTGCTTTTACCTTTTTACCTGATTGAAATCTGGTGGGCTACGTCCCTTTTCTTTTTTTGTATATCCTTTTCCTTCTTTTTTGTTAAATGACTCATATGTCCTTGTTTGAAATTTATGGGCTATTACAAACCATTAGAATTCTGATTGTCTTTGCATCTCATATGGAGTTCACTCTATTCCAAATGGATGTCAAAATTGCATTTCTAAATGGCTATCTAAAAGAAGAAGTTTATGTCAAGCAGCCTCCTAGTTTTGAGTGTCAAGAATGCCGTGATCATGTGTTAAAACTAGATAAGGCATTGTACGGGTTTAAACAGACTCTCGGGGCTTGGCATAAAAGGCTATCAAAATTCCTTCTAGAAAATGGCTTTGCAAGAGGGAAGATTGACAATACTCTTTTCCTAAAGAAACGAGGGAGGAACCTACTCATTATTCAGGTGTATGTCAATGATATCATCTTTGGAGCCAAACTGATTCTCTCTACGAAGAATTTGGTGAACTCATGTGGAGTAAATTTGAGATGAGTATGATGGGAGAACTGAATTTCTTCCTAGGACATCAAGTGAAGCAATCTATGAAGGGACCATTGATAAGTCAGCAAAAGTACATCAAAGAGTTGCTGAAAAGGTTTTATATAGAAGCCTCAAAAGTCATCGACACGCCATTGCAACAACTACTCGTCTAGACATGGATGAACCTAGTTCCCCTATAAACCAGACCATGTAAAGAGGGAACATAAGGTCATTATTGTATCTAACTGCATGTAGACCAAACATTGTTTTTAGTGTGGGTATCTGTGCAAGGTTCCAATCCGATCTAAAGGAATCTCATCTGAAGGTTGCCAAAAGAATACTGAGATATCTCAAGGGAACACAGGGCCTGGTCCTTTATTATCCTTCAAAAGACAATTTTGATCTTATTGGGTATGTTGACGCTGATTATATTGGATATCTGGTAGATAGGAAAAATACTTCTGGGATGGCACACTTCTTGGATTCCTGCTTAATCTCATGGGGTACAAGGAAGCAGAATTTTGTGGCACTTTCAACTACAGAAGCTGAATATGTAGCAACTACCTCTTGTTGCGCTCAACTTTTATGGATCAAGAAACAATTGGAATATTTTGGAGTATTCTCAGATTGTGTGCCTCTCTTATTTGATAATACTAGTGCATTCAACATGGCAAAAAATCCAGTTCAACATAAGAGGACAAAGCACATTAATGTACGTCACCATTTCCTCATAGACAATGTTGAGAAAAGGGCTTATATGCATGAAATTCTGCGGCACTGAAGACCAAATTGTGGATATATTTACCAAGGCCCTGAGCTTAGAACACTTCGAGCAAAATCGTCTAGCATTGGGGTTGATAAAACCCAATTGAGAACCCGGCCCCTCAATGATTGGCTATGAAAGAAAGGTTCAGTTAAATTTGCTAAAAGGTGTTTTATGGCAAAGTCTAACTCATATCTATACCGTTACAGGTAGACATGCTTGATGATTATAGAGCAAATAAGTATTTGAAGTTGTACACACTAGTAAAAAAAGGACAAAGCTTTTAGACAAGAGATTAGTAAGGGAACCTGGTTCTCCTGACACTAGTTAGTAGTTTCTATGTTTGTGACGACCTGGCCGATCGTCTTAAGAATTTACACATCGATCCCCTATTAACTACTTTTCCCATGTTTATTTCTGCTATTTTGAATTGCCAGGATGTTCAGTTTCGAGTTTCGGAGAGTTTTGGAACATTTAGTCCCTAAACGAGAGCTTAAGTGTTGGAAATTTGACCGAAGTCGAAATAGTGTGAAGACGGACTCAAAATGGAATTCCAATGGTCCCGTTAACTCCGTTGGGTGATTTCAAGAGCGTGTTTGGATTGTATTTTGAGGGTTCGTAGCTAATTTAGGCTTGAAATGCCGAAAGGTCGAATTTTGAAGTTTCTGATTCGATAGTGAGATTTTGATCCGAGGGTCAGAATGGAATTTTGGAAGTTGGGGTAGCTTCGTAGTGTTGAATGTTACATTTGTGCAAACTTTCAGGTCATTCGGATGAGGTTTGATAGACTTTTTGGTTGAAAGAGTATTTTTAGAGTTTTGGAGTTCTTAGGCTTGAATCTGCGGCTGATTCGTCGTTTTGATGTTGTTTTAGGTGTTTTAAGGATTGGTATAAGTTTGGACAGTAGTATTAGACTTGTTGGTGCCTTTGGTTGAGGTCCCGGAGGCCTCGGGATTATTTCGGAAGGTTGTCGGAAAAATTTGGAATTTGTTTGAGCAGCTTCAGTTGCTGATCTTCTGTCATACCCGCAGGTGCGTAGCCGCAGAAGTGGCATTTTCATCGCAGAAGCGGAATTGGGCAGGAGCAGCAGGATCCGCATATGCGGGAGGTTTACCGCAGAAGCGGTACCGCATCTGTGAATGGGGAATCGCAGGGGCGGAGAAGGCTGAGTTAGTGATTGTCGCAGATGATACAATTTGTCGGCAAAAGCGGAACCGCAGGTGTGGTCCCATGACTGTAAAAGCGGATTAGCTAGGCAGAAACATATAAATCTTGCCTTCGCAAATTTTAGCCATTTTCACCTCTTTTCAAACGGGAAGAAGCCTTGGGAAGCATTTTCAAGAGGGAATTTCAAAG